ATGCTCCAGGCCCCTCATCATCTTTGTGGCCCTTTGCTGTCCTCTCTCCAGCAGTTCCCTGTCCTTGAACTGGGGAGCCCAGAACTGGTCCCAGTGCTCCAGATGGGGCCTCCCCAGGGCAGAGCAGAGGGGGAGGATGACTTCCCACAACCTGCTGACCACACTCTTCCTGATGCACCCCAGGATGCCATTGGCCTTCTTGGCCACAGGGGCACGTTGCTGGCTCATGGTCATCCTGTTGTCCACCAGGTCTCCCAGGTCGTTTTCCTCAGAGCACCATGGCTCTGTCCTGCACATTGAGGTTACTGCCCCGGCACCTTCGCCCTTCAAGTGCTCTCCTGAGCAGCCTGCCCGGTGGGGACCACAGCCTGGTGAAGGAGAAGACGACAGCGGTAAAGCAGAGGGAGAAGAAAAAGGCCAGGGAGGACATCAGCCTGCCAGGTTCCTCCTGGGAGGAGAGGTACGGTTCCTTCAAAACAACCAAGCGCTCTTCCAAAGCACCAAACACCCGAAGCTGTTTGAGCAGTGGGTTGGGGGTTTCACCTCCACCCAGCTCTCCCCAGTAGAAGAGCCAGGGCTCAGCTGGCTTGCCTGGGGATAGGAATAATGGAAAAAGGTGAAGGAAAAGGTCTAAGAGGGAAGGAGCAGAGCAGTTGCTGTACTGGCAAGTAAAAAGTAATAGCCAGTTTGATTTGCAGGTCCGTGTCTGAAAGTAGTTGGCACTGGGTGCTTTGGAAGCAGCTCCAAAAATCCCAGTAAGCCGTAGCAGCAGCTCCTCCAGCTGTGGGGTGAGGTTTTCCATGGGCTCAGTGAGTCAGTAGTTGGTGGATAGCTACGGCAGTTTAGATTGTATCCACCTCACCCTCTACTCTTTTTTTTTCTTTTTTCCAAAAAAATCAACTTTTAGGTGTTTTGTTCTTGTTTGCCCTGGCCCAGATACAAGTAGTGGCAAGTTCTGAGGTTTATCTCTGAACTGGTCAGTGAGAGTGGGCAGCTGGTGATTCCCTGCCAGCTCCACACAAACTGTCCATTTCCCTGGGGTGGATTAAATCTAGTACAGCATTGGCAAAAAGGACACAGTCGTGCGTGGCTGGAAATGTGAGCAGGCAGATGATGCAGGATGGATGCTTCGAGGGATGAGAGAACCATCGTGCCCTTTTAGGGGAAAGCTCCAGGGAGATGGGACTCGGGCTGTCCTCGGAGCAGCAAGGGATGGCCAAAGCCTCTGATTCACTGGGAGAAAGCAACAGAGTCCATCTGAAGCTACAGAATGATTTCTTTTTTTCCCTTTGTTTCCCTTCGCCTGCACTTTGTTGTTAGTTTTTTCCCTCTGACCCCAGTAACATTTGAATACTCATTCCCCTGGCTTTACCAGCCTGGAGTCAGATCTCACCAAGGGTCTTTCTGGGTCCATGTTCCTCACCCTGTCCTCTCAAGGGGGATCAGAAAGATACCTGGGTAACCCAGAACACCCAGGTCTCACTGGTCAGACTTCTGCCAAAGGCTCAGCCTGTCCTCTGGAGAACTGGTTGTTGTGGTCTTTCTGGGTCCCTCTTCCAGCCACGAGTGTTCTGCACCAGGAAGGTGCCATGAATAGGGAGTTTGGATGTTCACAGCCAGCTCTGGGGCAGAGCCCGTACCAGAAGGGTCCTGCCCATGAAGCAGGTGGTGGGGATGTTATGCCCTAAGTATCAGGAGGTGAGTAGCTCTGGGCACTACCGTGATGTTGTGCTTTCCAGGCTAGCAAACGCGGTGACTCCGCTGTGGAGACTTCCCTACCAAGAGCAGCTGCAGGTAAGATGTGCTTACGTGGACTTTTCTCCGTTGTGCTGTCCCAACTGTCCCTCCTGTCTCCCTGGAGCAACAGCCCCTAGCATCTTAGTCGCTTAATGCTGTAAACTCTTCAGACCCCGTTTACTGCTGCTTTACTTCTTCAGTTATTATGAAGGATAGAACTGGGAGGTTCCCTGTGGGTGGTGTGTGTGATCACCAACAGCACAGCGATCCTGTCCAGTGTGGGACAACAGGTTCACTGGGGCTTCAGGTTGGATCAAGTGCTCCAGGCCAGCACTTGGGGACCGTGGACACAGGATTTCTTTCTCTCCCCATTGCTCCAAGCAGCTATGGTGATGAGAAAGGCAAAGTTCCTCTAGGGCTCTATCCCCCTTGCGGTATTCCCGCCTGTTGGCCTTCCCAGAGGTGGGTGATGAAGAGCTGCCCACCGTTTTTTAGGTGTTTTGTTCTTGCTCACCCTGCCCCAGGGTGGTCCTTTGAGAGTGTTTCTGGCTTAGGACTCCTCTGCAGGTGAAGCATGAAAGCCAGAGGAAGGTTTTGCAGACACTGGCGTCTCGTCTCAAGGAGCTGGGCGTAGATGGGCAGAAACCTGGTGGACTCTGCTGTCCTCTCCAGCCTGTAGTCCCTTCAGTGAGTATCCCACAGGAATATTGTCCCCTCTGAGCTGCTAACAGTCTCTCACTTGACTCCTGAAGAGCCTTATGGTGGGGATTGCTTGGTTGCAGGGAAGGTGTCTGTGGCAGTCCTTGCTGGCTTCTGCTTTGCAGCCTGTGACTGCTGAGAACAAAACAAGCCTTCCCTGATAAACCTGTCACCATTCTGTCGCAGAGAGCCATTTCTTCTTCCCGAGGGGAAGTATTGGGGGTCTTGTGCACAAACTCTGTTTCTGCGTTTTGCACATTCATGTGTATCTTCCTGTGCTGCCAACGGAACAAGCAGGCTGTGTTTTGGGCTTTCCTCCAGTACTTTTTCTTTTAATCCAAGGCTTTACTTTACTTGACTCCTGAAGAGCCTTATGGTGGGGATTGCTTGGTTGCAGGGAAGGTGTCTGTGGCAGTCCTTGCTGGCTTCTGCTTTGCAGCCTGTGACTGCTGAGAACAAAACAAGCCTTCCCTGATAAACCTGTCACCATTCTGTCGCAGAGAGCCATTTCTTCTTCCCGAGGGGAAGTATTGGGGGTCTTGTGCACAAACTCTGTTTCTGCGTTTTGCACATTCATGTGTATCTTCCTGTGCTGCCAACGGAACAAGCAGGCTGTGTTTTGGGCTTTCCTCCAGTACTTTTTCTTTTAATCCAAGGCTTTACTTTTCCTTCTTTTCTCCCTCAGCCCGTCATTAATGGCTACCGAAACAAATCTACGTTCTCTGTGAACCAAGGACCAGATGGGAACCCCAAAACCGTGGGGTTGTATGTGGGAACTGGCAGAGGTCAGTTCTGGAGCAGGGCAGAAAGCTACTGGTGTGGGATGGGTTGGGGCAAGGCTCTGCTCTGCCAGTCTCCACCCAAGTTAGAAGCCTGAATTCTGCAGGATGCCAACAGAAACACCACCAGCTCTGGGGCAGCAATTTTAAAACCTCAGTTTATTAGCTTCTCAAGAAAATACCAGCTTCTAATTTGCTAAACACAGCAGTAAGGATGACAGCTGTGGTGGCAGCCCCTCCAGGATTTACAGAATCACAGAATGATACAGGGTTGGAAGGGACCTCTGGAGATCATCTAGTCCAACCCCCTGCCAAAGCAGGTCCTCTTAGACCAGGTTGCACAGGAGCGTGTCCCGGTGGGTTCTGAATGTCTCCAGAGATGGAGACTCCACCACCTCTCTGGGCAGCCTGTTCCAGGGCCCTGCCACCCTCAAAGTGAAGAGGTTCCTCCTCATGTTTAGATGGAACTTCTTATATTCCAGTTTGTTTCTGTTTCCTCTTGTCCTGTCACTGGGCACGACTGAAAAAATGATTTAGCTTTCTTATTCTTAATTATGCTGTTCCTGTGATTTTGGCGTGCTCCAGGAGCCTGTGCTGTGTGGGGAGGGCATGGAATGGGGGGTGTGCATGTCCATAGGCAGCAGAGCAACGTTGGAGCGTTTGGGATGTGTGAAGCAGTTTGGTTTTGTGCACTGAAGATGTGAGCTGGGTGCTCCTGGCAAGCAGCTCAGTGGTGAACTCGTTCACACCATCAATACTGGGTTTTGCTTCTCAACATCCCTCACAAGAAGGTGCTGGGGTGGGTGCTGTGTTCTTTTCTCATTGAAAAAATAATCTCACGAATGCATTTTACCTCTGGCAGCAAAAGTTTAGCATTTAAACTGAAGTGAGAAGGCATTCTTCCAGGCAACCTAAAATGCTTTGCTGCTGTAAGCCCACACCATTATTCTCCAGTTAGCAAACTGGCTTGCTCTGCTCTGGCTCCCTTAGGTTAAGAGCAGTGCAGTGGTTCCTCTGGACATTTAAAAAGCTCCCAGAGCTCCAAACTCTTCATGGAAATCAGTGACAGTAATCACTGGCAAAGGGAATTCTGGCAGGTCCTGCAGCCTGTGGGTACCCAGAACATCACAGGATTTAGTGGGGCACTTACATACCAGTTCTTTGGGGTTTTTCTCCTTTTTTTTTTTTGTACAATGGGAGAATTCAGGAGAAAGGTGTCTCCACAGTTTATCATGTCAGATGCTACAGTGGTTGACATGCCCTGAAACAAAATAATGAAATACCTGTCTGCCTCTCTCTCCAGAAAGAAATATTGTCTGTGTGAGAGCCAACCACGTGGAGAACATACCCTCAAAACACAAACAAGTAGCCCAGGTAAATAAATAAGTCACATCTGTTCCCTAGGCTGTGGAACAGAGGGACTGCCATAACTTATTTGAGAGAACACTGTAATTTTAGTTATGCTGGATTTTCAAGTCCGTTTTCATGTTCTGAAGTTTCAGGCCTGGCTCTGGTTGATGGATAAATGTTTTTTTTTAAACTTCTGTGTTAATGTTGCAGCCCCAAAACTATCCCAAAGAGTGAAGTTAATCAAGTGACAGTGCATTCCTGCCAATCTACTAAGACACCTAAGAATCACAAATCGAAATTTTTAAAATTTCTTGTCTTCCAAGACCTTGGAAAGAGCTTTCACTCCGTGTATTGAAATCAAAAAGAAAAAAACCAAAACAACAGATGATACTGCTGGAAGGGCCACCCGTTTTGGGGTGTACAGAGTTATGCTCAGAGCAGGGCAGTTGTCTCTGCTGTCCTACAAGTGCTGTTTCCCCTCTGCTCAGTGCTACGAGGAGTTCATCCGTCGCTCCCCCCTGGACCCCTGCCTCCTCTTCCACGAAGGGGGACACTGGCGGGAGCTCGTGGTGCGTACCACCAGCCGTGGCCACACCATGGCCATCGTCACCTTCCACCCCCAGGAGCTGGGCCAGGTGGGTACGTGGAGGATGGGAACCCCTGGCAAGAGGCACATCAGGTGTTTGGCCGACCTGAGCTTGCTGGGTCTGTCGCTGGGGAGAGGTGTCTAATCACATTATCCAAAGCTGGGTTTTTTCTCACTCTCCACAGGAGGCACTGGCAGCTCAGAAAGCATTGCTTAAGGAGTTCTTCACATGTGGAGCTGGAACAGCCTGTGACTTGACTTCACTTTATTTCCAAGAGAGGTATATGTCTTGACACAGGGAAAGAGTGAAAACAAAGCCACCTTTTATTTTTTTTTTCTTTTCTCCCCCCATCTCTGATCAAATTCGAATTCTACCGGTTCAGGGAGTGCTTGAAGAGAATGACAGATGTTTGGATGCCTCTTGCAGATGTGGTTTTAAGATGGCCACATCTTTTGTTTTTCCAGACCTGAAATACTTGAATACACTGTGGCTCTACCTCATGGGAGGTATGAACCTGAGAAACTAAAGAAAAAAAGCTTACAGTGACTTTCCCAAGACAGTAAATCACATTAGCAGCAAAACTGAGGAATAGACCCCAGGACTGCTGCCTTCTGTCATTTTGATCCTTTTAATGAATTCTGGGCTGTGCAAGTTACAGATCCCTTAGAAATAATCAAAATTCTTTGATCCTGTTGAAAGGCTCACGTGAAATTAAAGTTGGTGGGGGGAGAACCATCCTCCCCTGCACACCAGCACCCCAGGAATGGACATGGGAACAGGCTGCTCCTCTGCTGCTTTCTCACCGCTGGTTTTTGTGTGCCCTGCCAGCACCATGACACGCTGCTCCCACGAGCAGTCCCCCTTCCAGCTCCTTCACGGAGAACCACACATCTTTGAAGAGCTGCTCGGCCTGAAGTTCCGCATCTCTCCAGATGCTTTTTTCCAAGTAAACACTGGTGGAGCAGAAGTTCTGTACCAGGCGGTCGGGGAGCTGAGTCAGGCTGGTGGGGACACCGTCCTCCTCGACATCTGCTGTGGAACGGGTGAGCAGTGGCCAGGGTGAGCCTGGCTCCCAGGGCTGGTGCTCTGTGTGCCAAAAAATGATCCCTGCTATCTAAAGGCATGTTTCTTCCATGTGGATGTACGGAGTGGTTTTGTATCCCTCGTTTCCAGGCACAATTGGTCTGTCTCTGGCTCGCCAAGTGGCCAAAGTTATTGGTGTTGAGGTGGTGGAGAAGGCGATAGAGGATGCCAGGTGGAATGCAGCGTTCAACGGTGAGTTCAGGCTCACCGGGGCTGAAAACTTCACACTAACCACTGAAAAATCGGAAGAAGAATCATAGAATTGTAGAATGGTTAGAGTTGGAAGAGACCTTAAAGATCTTGTTGTTCCACCCCC